AAGCTGCAAACACAACAGATAGCAGAAGCCTACTCCGCTCAACTTACCCAACTGCTTGACGAAAACACCCCTTGTCCTAATAATAATATAGAAGCACAATGGCAGAGAATTGCCTACTCCCTAAAAACTGCAGCAAAAGCAACACTGGGGTACCAAAGACCACCATCAAGAAATCCGTGGTACGATCAGGAGTGTTGTAATGCTACTGATATGAAAAACGCAGCGTATAGGGTTGGATACCTGCAGCTCTTCCTCAGGAAGAAGACTACCTGCAGCTCTGCTATAGGAGGAAGAATACCTCCAGCTCTCCTATTCCAGCAGCTATTCCACAGAAAGAGGGAATCCTTTCAATGGAAGAAGAATACCTGCAGATCTTCCACAGTAAGAAGACTCCTGCAGCTCTTTCACAGGAAGAGGAATGCAACCATGCGGACAGTAGCAACGCCTAATGCGATGGAGAACTATCGGGAGAGAAGGAGAGAGGAGAAACTTATTTTCAGAAAAAAGAAGAAATAGCAAAAAAAAAAAAAAAAAACGTGATCGTGAGCAAATCGAGATGTACAGGAGTCAGAATGAAGTCCGAAAATTCTACCAACGGGTAAAACACCAAACCGAAGACTTTGGTGCAGGCACGTCCTCCTGTAGATATAATATAGGAAACCTGGTGGCAGATGCCGACAGCGTGCTGAGGATCTGCAAGGAGCATTTTGAGAAACTTCGGGTATCAAACAGTAGCTGTGAAGTGGATACCCCAGAACCAATAATAGATGACGGAATAGAGTGTATACCACCTAGCCAAGATGAAGTCAGACTAGCCATCAATAGGCTAAAGAATAATAAAGCAGCAGGAGCCCATGATGCTGGTAAGTACAGCTGATTAGTACAATTTGGCTAGACGAATGCATGCCCAAGGATTGGAACCTCAGCATCCTGTGTCCTGTGCACAAAAAAAAAACAAGACGATATGTGCCAACTATAGAGGAATATGTCTCCTTCCCATGGCATATAAAGTGTTATCCAGCGTACTGTGTGAACGACTGAAGCCAATGGTCAATGACATTATTGGAGCATACCAATGTGGCTTCAGACCTGGCAAATCCACCATTGACCAGATTTTCACTCTGCGCTAAATCCTGGAAAAAACATACGAAAAACACATCGACACATTCCACCGATCCTTCGTCGAATATAATGCCGCATTCGACAGCCCTATACGTTCAGAGGTGTATAAAGCTATGTCTGCGTTTGGCATTCCCGCAAAATTAATTCGGCTATGCAGGATAATTTTAACTGGCACAAGATCAGCAGTTAAAGTGGGAAAGGACCTCTCGGAGCCCTTTAATACCGAACTAGGATTCAGACAAAGTGATAGTTTGTCGTGTGACCTTTTTAACATCCTGCTGGAAAAGGTCATACGAGAGGCAAAAGTGAACAGAAATGACACTCTGTACACCAAAGAACACATGTTACTCGCCTACGCCGATGACATCGACATAATGGGTCGAACATTGAGAGCGGTAACAGCCACCTTTGAACAAATTGAGAAGGAGTCTGTCAAATTGGGTCTGGCAGTATACGGCGAGAATATCAAGCTGATGGTATTAAGGCGCAAGACGTCCAGTAGACTCGGACCAACTGTGGAACTTGAGAACTACAGCTTCGAGGTAGTCAAAGAATATATATATATATATATATATATACCTTGATACCGCAATAAATAAAACGAATGACATCAGTTTTGAAATTCGAAGAAGGATAGTGAGGGCCAACCGATGCTACTTAGGTCTGAGCAAACAACTCAAGAGCAAGACCATGAAGCATGGATACTTACGCAAGCAGATGAGTCAGCTCTTGGAGTGTTTGAGAGAAAAATTCTCCGAAAAATCTATGGGCCGAACTGCGTTGACGGTGAATATCGTCGTCGAATAAACCATGAGTTATACCAGCTATTGTCGGACATCAACATTGTTAGACGTATTGAGCTGCAGCGACTACATTGGCTAGGTCATGTTGTGAGAATGGATAAAGATGCCCCAGCCCAGAAGGTGTATAAAAGCGAACCAGCTGAGGGTTCACGCAGAAGGGGAAGTCAAAGAATATGTCAAGTCGAAGACAATATCGACGAAAATGGTCTTTCAAATTGGAAAAACTTCGCAAAAGACAAATGCGCCTGGAAATCTTTTCTAAGCTCGGCTTATGGAACGAAAGTTATGTCACAAGCCAGCTAAATAAGTAAGAGATAGGCGTGGATTTTTTAAAAATATTTTTTCATGCTTCAATACACGCGTGGATATTTTAAAACATTTTTGTTTTCAAAGTTGACCATAGGCTTGGATTTTTTAAAAATGTTTTTTCAAGGTTGATCATAGTCGTGCTGTTTCAAATATTTTTCAAATGCTTAGGTGATGTTTTTTCATAGATCATAGGCCTTAATTTTTCTAGGCTAACCAGAGGTCTGGATTTTTTACAAACACTTTTCTAGGCTTACCGTAGTCGTGTATTTTTATACCCTACACAACTATGTTGTCAGGGTATTATAGTTTTGTGAGCCCCAAAGGTTTGTAAAGCCGCGAAATATTGATCCTAGACCCACCTTTAAGTATACCTATCGTCTTATCTGGACTAGCTGAGTCGATCTAGACATGTGTGTCCGTAAGTCCGTCCGTCTGTCCATTATAATTTGTAAACACGATACAGGCCACAGTTATGGACCAATCCTCACGAAATTTTGCGTGTAGGATGGGTTCTGGCCAATGAAGACCCCTATTGTTTTTGGTAAAGATCGATTAATATTTAGGGGATGAAATGGACCAAATACTAAATTTTTGTCGGTTTTTTTTGGTCGCTCCAGAGGCCGCAAATTTGGCCCGATTTGATAAAGATCGGTCAATATTTAGCGGGTCAAATGGACCCTGACTTTTGTGTGAAAAATGACAAAATTTGGATTCTATGGCGTATATATTTACTCTTAAAGGACATAGACTCGAGAAGTTGGTAATATATTCAAGAGGAGTGGCTGGCCTTTAAATTGATACCAATTATATTGTCGCATGTTCTGGGGTGTGGGAGTTACTCTTAAATATTTACAGGTGCTTACGTATTCAGATATTATATAGTAACCCTTACCACACTAGAGGGCGGAAATATAACGCTGATCGATTTGAAATTTTCCATGGGGTCCCAGTTATGGCCAAGGACAGCGCTTGTAATTTTCCGTGATGATCAGATAATAATTTTGGGATGAAGTGGACCGAAAACTTAATTTTTTGCAATTTTTCGAATCGATATATAGGCCACAGTTATAAGCCGATCATCACCATACAACCCACGCTGAAGTCAATCTAGACAAGTAATAAGAAGGGCTGTACTGAATATTAGTAATATTCGGAAAATATGTCAGTTTGTGGAAGATGTGCTGTTGACCTCTAATCGGGCAAGAGGGTGCAAATGTCACGAAATATTTCCCAGGCTCGGAATAAACTTCTTAGAAAGTTAGAACTCCGTCGTAGTTGTGTATGGTATCGTATGGTCGGCCCCGTCAGACTATACTGCTCCGCTCACTGGATTAAAAATATTTTTTCAAGTCTTACCCCTAACCGTTTATATAGCAATAAATTCCACTCTAATTTCCTGACTGAATAACTAAAGCCACAGAAAGTCATTCATGTTAATCCAATGATTAAGGCAAATAAAGCGAACGAGTCAAAATGACCAGCCAGCAATTAAAAAAAAATACCAAATCCTTCCTCATTTGAATAATTTAAGCAAAGCAATTCCACACAAAAAAAAACTGTCAATCAAATTGATGAACACGGAATTAAATTAATTAAATTTTCCTTAATTTTGTTTATCGTTACAGATAACTGATACGAATCACGAACACACTCACATACACAGAATCAAAGCACCAAGGATCAGGCCTCTCCTCGAAAAAAAAAAACGGAAGAATCAACAAGCCCACAATCAAGCTAACATATGCAAGCTTGGGGGTTTTTAATGTTCGCCATATGGATGTGAAATAAATAAAAAAAAAATCATTAACTTAACTAAATCAATGATTTGTGTGGTATCGATGTGTGCATGTGTGTGAGACGTTCGAGCTCGAAGGATAAATGGTGAACGGTTAAAAATAAATAAAATATTCATGAACTGCCAGCCTTCATCCTCAGACCTCAACATTAAAACTACATCATGACTGGCAGAATTTCCACCCTGATACAATCGCTAGCCTAGCTTGGAAGCATTTTAAAGCAAAGGAAAAAATCCACAAAAATTAAACAAGAAAAGTAAATTGAGGCACATAAGAAAAAAAGTATAAAATAAGGAACTTATTTACCAGCTGGTCCCTGCTCCTCATTGCGGTATTGGAAATTTGCCAAATGTCATTTACAATCCCTCCACAAATAATCGTCTATCAAATTTCTTCATCTTCAACGTAAATCCCCCCCAAAAAAATAAGGACATCTTTACCTTCTTTGGGCAACAAAAACACATGAACAAGGATATCCATATATCTCAACAGTTAATATCAAAAAACCCTCCTCCTACCCCCAACCACAACCAAAGTTGTCGAACACAACACGTGTATGGCCAACCACATTGTCATTTTGATGATGTTGTTGTCGATGTTGTGATTTCGGCTTCATCGATGTGTCAATCAATTCTAAGACTTGCAGATAAATCATTCTCATTTATTATTTGAAGCTTAAAATTTGGGCCCAAAAGAAATACCACACACACACACTCCCCAATTTTGCCTGAAACGACAGAAAAAAAACAACACCACCAGCTGCCAATCTTTATTGCATTATTTCCTGTTCCACGCATACACACGCACACCTTTTTGTATTAGAATTATTTATTTGTTCGTGTATGTGTGGTGTGGTCCTTCGATTATTCCGCTGTGATTGAGTTCCACACAATTCATATAAAAAACGACTCCTTGTGCTGACGTCTGCGATTTTGCGTGCATGTCATGAATCGTCATGTGGACGTATATGATGGCAGCTGCCCGTGGCGATCGGGCCAACTCTATGATGGCGTCCAGACGTCGCAATGAAGCGGAATCACCTAAATATGGTTATAAGTAAGTATGGATAATTTTATTAATATAAAAATAAAAAATCCACGCCTACAATAGGTTGATGATTTTCAAAATTATTTTCAAAAAATATTTTATTCAATACCCTAACATAAGCGTTGATTTTTTAAAAAATATTTTTTCAATACCTTAACATAACCAAGGATTATTATACTCCACACAACTATGTTGTCAGGGTATTATAGCTTTTTGCAGCCCCAAGAGTTTGTAACGCCGCGAAATATTGGTCCTAGACCCACCTTTAAGTATACCGATCGTCATATCTCGACTAGTTGAGTCGATCTAGACATGTGTGTCTGTCCGTCCGTCCGTCAGTCCATTATAATTTGTAAACACCATGCAGGCCACAGTTATGAACAAATCTTCATGAAATTTTGCATGTAGGAAGGGTTCTGGCCAATGAAGATCGGAAAGAACGGTTAATATTTGGGAAATGAAATGGACCTTACTTACATAGCTGGCTTGTTACAGAACGGTTGTTCCATAAGCCGAGCTTAAAAAAGATTTCCAAGCTCGTCGGTCTTGTGCGCAAATCCACCAATTTGGAAGACCACGTTCCAAGATGTTGTTTTCTACTTGGTCTTTCCATCTAATTCATGGCCTTCCCCTTCTACGGAAACCATCAGTAGGCTCGCTTTTATATGCTTTTTGATCTCTGGCATTCCACAACATAGCCTAGCCACCGTAGTCGCTGCAGCGCAATACGACTGACTATGTCGATGTCCGCGTACAAATTGTAAAGTTCGTGGTTCATTCGACACCGATATTCACCGTCGACGAAGATCGGCCCGTAGATTTTTCGGAGAATTTTTCTTTCAAATACCCCAAGAGCTGCCTCATCTGCATGCGCAAGTACCCATGCTTCTTATCCATATAATAGCACGGGTCTTGTAAAGTGTGAGTTTGGTCTGGCGGGAGGTGTCCTTGTTTCTAAACTGCTTACATAGACCATAGTAGCATCTGTTGGCCATCACAATCCTTCTCCGAATTTCAAAACTGATGTCATTCGTTTTATATATGGCGGTACCAAGGCATATAAAGTCTTTAACTACCTCGAAGCTGTAGTTCTCAAGTTCCACAGTTGGTCCGAGTCTACTGGACGTCTTGCACGTTGATACCATCAGCTTGGTCTTCTCGCTGTTTACTGCCAGACCCACTTTGGCAGACTCCTTCTCAATTTGTTCAAAGGTGGCTCTTACCGCTCTCAATGTTCGACCCATTATGTCGATGTCAACAGCGTAGGCGAGTAACATGTGTTGATTGGTGTACAGAGTGCCATTTCTGTTCACTTTTGCCTCTCGTATGACCTTTTCCAGCAGGATGTTAAAAAAATCACACGACAAACTGTCACCTTGTCTGAATCCTCGTTCGGTATTGAAGGGCTCCGATAGGTCCTTTCATACTTTAACTGCTGACCTTGTGCCACTTAAAGTTATAATATATAGCCGTATTATCTTTGCAGGAATGCCGAACGTAGACATGGCTTTAAACACCTCTGAACGGATAGGGCTGTCGATTGCGGCTTTATAGTCGACAAATAGTTGGTATGTGTCGATGTGTTTTTCGTGGGTCTTTTTCCAGGATTTGGCGCAGAGTGAAAATCTGGTCAATGGTGGATTTGCCAGGTCTGAAGCCGCATTGGTATGGTCCAATAATGTGATTGACCATTGGTTTCAGTCGTTCACACAGCACACTGGATAGCACTTTATATGCGATGGGAAGGAGACTTATTCCTCTATAGTTGGCACATATCCTCCTGTCTCCTTTTTTGTGCACGGGACACAGGATGCTGAGGTTCCATCCAATTGGGCATGCATTCCTCTAGCCAAATCGTACTTATCAGCTGGTGCATGCTCCTTACCAGCATCTGACCACCAGTCTTGAATAGTTCGGCTTGTAACCCATCGGCTCCTGTTGCTTTATTGTTCTTGAGCCGATTAATTCCTTTTACGACCTCATCTTGGCTAGGTGGTATATACTCTATACCATCATCTCTTTCTTATTGGTTCTGGGGTATCTTCTTCAACGCCACTATTTGATACCAGAAGTTTTTCAAAATAATCCTTCCAGATCCTCAACACGCTGTCTGTATCTGTCACCAGGTTTCCTTCTTCATCTCCATAGGAGGATGTGCCTGCACCAAAGCCTTCGGTTTGGTGTTTTACTCGTTGGTTAAATGTCCGGACTTCATTCTGATCCTGTACATCACGATTCACTCACGTTTTTCTTGTTCTTTCTTCTTTTTTCTGAAAACACGTATCTCCTCTCACCTTTTCTCCCGATAATTCTCCATCACATTACGTGTTCCTACTGTCTGCAAGGTTGCCCTATTCGCTGCGTTTTTCACATCAGTAGCATTACGACACTCCGTACCATGGGTTTCTTGGTGGTGGTTTTTGGAGTGGGCAATTCTTTGCCATTGTGCTTCTATACAATTGTCGGGGCAAGAAGTGCTTTCTTCAAGCAGGGGGGTAAGTTGAGTGGAGTAGGCTTCGGCTACCTGTTGTGTTTGCAGTTTTTCGACGTCGAGTTTCCGTGTTGTGTTAGATCTCACATTTGCTGCTACATTAAGACGGGTGCGTACCTTTAGCTGCCACAAGGTAGTGGTCCGAATCGATATTCGCTCCTCGGATCGATCGGACATCTAAAACACTGTATGAATGCCTTTCGTCTATCACAACATGATCAATTTGCTTGCTTAATCAGGAGAGATTCAGGTGGCCTTGTGTATATCGAGATGCTTGAATCTGGTGCTGCTAACTATCATGTTTTATTGCTGCTGCGAAGTCAATCAACCGGATGCCGTTGTCGGATGTTTCTTCATGAAGGATGAATTTTCCGACGGTGGGGCCAAAGATATTTTCCCTTCCGATTTTGGCATTAAAATCTCCTAGCAGAATTTTAATGTCATAGCCAGGGCAACGGTCATATGCTGTTTCTAGGCGCTCGTAAAATATGTCTTTGGTCTGTTCATCTTTATCTTCGGTTGGAGCATGAGTGCAAATTAGACTGATGTAGAAGAAATTCGGTTTTATGCGGATTATGGCAATTTGCTCATCTACTGGAGTGAATCTGGAGACGAGGTCTTTTATTCTCTTGATAATCATAAATCTCTCGTGTCTCGTTTCGTGGCAGCTATAATACAGGGCGTAATCATCTGATTTACTTACGCCAGCCCCATTCCATCGCATTTCCTGTAAAGCAATAATATCGGCTTTGTACTTCTGTACAACGTGCGCACATTCCAAGTGCAGATTCGCAGGTCGTGGTCCATCATACGTTTGCGGGGATCGTCAACATTAGGGGAGCGTGGTTTTCTTTTTCTTTGCTTTTTCATAATAGGTTGGGTTTGGGCAACTAACCCGACGCCTCAAACCATTTTTTATAGTTCTTATGGGTGAACTTGCGTCACATATCAGCTCACTATTTCAACGGGTGATGAAAATAGCCTTACTTTTGTGTGAAAAATGAGAAAATTTGTATTCTATGGCGTATATTATTACTCCTAAGGGGCATGAAGCCGAGATGTTGATAGTATATCCAAGAGGAGTTGCTGACCTTTAAATTGATACCAATTTTATTGTCGTATGTACTCATATGTGGGAGTTACACTTACGTATTCAGATATTATTTAGTAACCAATTACCACACTAGAAGTCGGAAATATAGCGCTGATGTCTTAGAAAATGTCCATTAGGATCCAGGTATGGTCAAGGACAACGCCTATAATTTTCAGTGATGATCAGATAATAATATTGGAATGAAATGGTCCGAAAACATAATTTGATGTGTTTTTTCGGGTCGATCTATAGGCCACAATTGAAAGCCGAACATCACGGTGAAGGGAATATTGACAAATTTGCTGACCTCTATTCGGTCAAGAGAGTGCAAATATTGCGAAATATTGCCCAGGCTCAGAATATAGAACCGCATAAAGTTAGATTTTCGTGGTAATTGTGTAGGGTATCATATGGTCGGCCCTGTCCGATAATACTGCTCCGCTCACTGGTTTAAAAATACTTTTCAATACCCTATCATAGGCGTGGTGTTTTTAAAAATATTTTTTTCAAGGCTTACCTTAGGAGTGGATTTTTAAACATATTTTTCAATAGCCTAAGTAAATAATTAATCATTTTCAATTTCATCTATTTTTATACCCTCCACCATAGTATGGAGGGTATATTAATTTCGTCATTCCTTTTGTAACACATCGAAATATTCATTTTCGACCCTATAAAGTATATATATTCTTGATCAGGGTAAAATTCTAAGACGATGTAGCCATGTCCGTCCGTCTGTCCGTCTGTTGTAATCACGCTATCTTCCGAAGGAATTGAGATAGAGTGCTGAAATTTTGCATAGGGTTGTCTTTTGTCTACAGGCAGGTCAAGTTCGAAGATGGGATATATCGGTCCACGTTTAGGCATAGCTCCCATATAAGGGTAACCTCCAATTTTCGGTATTTTGGGGTTCTTGAGCGCGTTTTTCAACCGAATTCGCTGAAATTTGGTACATTGTGTTCTTATTGGGTACTAAATGTCTCCACAAAAAATTATAAATATAGGTCCACTTTTTCTGGTAGCCCCCATATAACGGTACCTCCTAATTTTCAGTATTTTGGGGGTTTTGGTCGTATTTTTCCACTGAATTGGCTGTAATTTAGTATTTTGAGTTCTTAATAGGTACCAAATCTCTTCACAAAAAATTATGAATATAGGTCAATTTTTTCGGGTAGCCCCCATATAAGGGTACACCCCATTTTTCGGTATTTTGGGGTTCTTGAGCGCGTTTTTCAGCCGAATTCGCTGAAATTTGCTACATTGGGTTCTTATTGGGTACTAAATGTCTCCACAAAAATTATAAATATAGGTCAACTTTTTCTGGTAGCCCCCATATAACGGTACCTCCCAATTTTCAGTATTTTGGGGGTTTTGATCGTATTTTTCCGCCGAATTAGCTGTAATTTAGTATTTTGAGTTATTAATAGGTACAAAATTCTCTAAAAAAGAATTATGAATATAGGCCCATTTTTTCGTATAGCTCCTTTATAAGGGTACCCCAATTTTCGGTATTTTGGGGTTCTTGAGAGCGTTTTTCAAACGAATTTGCTGCAATTTGGTATTTTGTAGTCGTATATGGTAACAAATCTCTCTACCAAAAATTATTAATATTCGCCCCCTTTTTAGGGTCGTTCCCATATAATCCCCTTTTTTATATAACCCGCATTTAGGCCTAGCTCCTGTGTGGGAGGTACCAGAAGAAGTGGACCGATATTCCCCATCTTCGAACTTGAACTTTGTTTGGAAGAAACAATAAGATGTGCAAAGTTTGGATGAAATCAAAATTTTCTGAAACAAATTTGGTCCAAAGAAACTTGGGGTCTAGAACCAATATTTCGGTGAAGCTCATTTCCAACGTGTCAAAGTGTATACACCCTCATTAGGCATATGGCTGAGGTAAATTTATCTATTAAAAATTTCTGAAATGTATATCATGGTTTACATAATCGGTTTGTAGAAATGTCGGTATGAGTCCGCTTTTTGATATTTTCCCTATATTTTCATTTCAAGTACCTGTCATTATATCTATGGTGGAGGGTATCCAAAGTTCGACCCGGCCGCTTACCGCTTACCGCTTTTTCACTTGTTTATTACCCAGCCAATCTTAAAAAATTACTTTTCCATTTTGTCTGCTCCAATTCCGTTGGATAATAGCATTTGTAATATTATTTTTCCAATTTTTGCAAACAATTTTAGTTTATGAAAAATTCGCCTTCGCCTTTTATTAATATTGCATTCATTCAGTTCAGATATTAATTTCCTAAGTAAATTAAAATGAAATCCATTTAATATTTTCTACAAAGTTTTCAGACACAAGATGGTGTTGTTGTTGTTTTCGGTTCTATTTAAAAATATCGTCTTATAGTCTAAATATACTCTTGACATGATTTCCTCGATTTCGAAGTTAAGCAAAAACACATTTTTTGCAACACGAACATCAACTGATTAAATACTTCAACTTTGTTTTCTTTCTTCCCCCGCCCCACCCCATAGCCTCTCCCGTCCCATGTACCGTTCCATACGTCGCAATAATGGACCATCATCGCAATGTCATACTACAACATTGGGTGGCTCATATCCTTATACCACGGCAACGAGTCATTATGGTTCGGCAGTGTCATCCTCGTCGTCATCATCAGCACTACAGCAACATCAAAAATTGTTGCAACAACATGAAACGGGTCAACAGCAGCATCAGCAGCACCAACACCAACAACAACATTTACATCATCACATTATTGGCATTGAGGACGATGTTTATACTAATCCAGTTAGTAATGTTCCAACGTCGTACGACGACATGGAGGATAGCACCAGCCTTTTTTCACCTCTTGCACCGAGCAGTACAACAACGATGCCAGTCGATACGGCTGTCCTGATAGCCCGAAAACATCGTTTGATGTCTTCCACTTCGAATTCCTCACAAAATCAACTGCATTCCTCGGCGACGACGACGACGATGAGAACTGCTGGCGAAATGATGATGGATGACTTGATGGATGTGGAATCGAGGCAACATCATCACTCCTATGTTGGTAGTCAGGCGGCAGTGGTGCGACTACCCAATTCATCGGCATCGCGTAAACTCTCCTCGGCATATTACAATGAAAGTGATGAGGATGACGATGATTATGCCCAAATTGTAAGATGTTCATCGGGCGATTCGGCCACAGCAATGACAGCAACTACGCTAGGTAATCGACAGCCGCAAACAATGCTAATTGATCAGCAGCTGAACCAGCACCATCACCCTCAGCAGCAGCGTAGTATACGAAATCACTCGAGGAGATCGAGAAGGAGAAGTAGTAGTGGTGGTGGTAATTTTGATGATAGTGTTAATGACAAGACCGTTCATGCTGAGGATGCTGATAGCGAGGATGAAGATGTATACGATGATGCCGCTGATGACGACAATGACGATGTTAGCATTGGCAATGAGATTAACAAGGATCGAAAAAGAGCCAATTATTTGGAAAATGGCAAACGCCTGTCACAGGTAAGTCGAATGATTTGTAGTTATTCTAGGCTTAAGGGATTTGTCTACAAGGTATCGAAATTTCTGAAATCTTGATAAACTGTGATTGGAGGTATATTGAGATTTTCTTATACATCATCATATGTGAAAAAGGATGAATTTTGGGAGGACAGTTATGCGTTTAAATTTTAACAAGCATGTTTTCGACGACTACTATAGACGTGCATTCTTACTATAGTTTTTCAAAGTCTACCATAGGCGTGGATTTTTTAAAAATATTTTTTTTCAAAACCCTTCTGAGGCGTGAATATTTTGAAGAATATTTTTTCTAATTTTCCAAGGCGTGGATTTTTTGTAGAATATTTTTTCAAGGTTTTCCAAGGCGTGGATTTTTTGAAGAATATTTTTTCAAAGTTTTCCAAGGCGTGGATTTTTTGAAGAATATTTTTTCAAGGTTTTCCAAGGCGTGGATTTTTTGAAGAATATTTTTTCAAGGTTTTCCAAGGCGTGGATTTTTTGAAGAATATTTTTTCAAGGTTTTCCAAGGCGTGGATTTTTTGAAGAATATTTTTTCAAGGTTTTCTAAGGTTCGGATCTTTTCCACAGTCTACCATGAGCGTGGATTTGTTTAAATATTTTGTCAAAGTCGTGGATTTTTATACCCTTCACCACACTGTGGTACAGGGCAATATGTCTTTATAACAGGCAAAAGGAAACGAGATAGACACATGGTTCCTTTAGAGAATATGCATATAATCATTTTGCATGCCCGTCCGTCCGTCTGCTTGTCCATGTTAAATTGTATACAAGTACAGGTCGCATTTATGATCCGATTTGGATGAAATTTGGCACAGTTCACTTATTTGGCCCAAGGACGAACCCTATTGAAATTGGAAAAAATCGGTTCAGATTTAGATATAGCTTCCATATATATTTTGCGTTTCCGATTTTAGGTATATATATTTTCGTGATTTTAGGCAAATGGTGCACCAAAGTCCCTATATATCTTTCGATTTACACGAAATTTGGCACAGCGTAATGATGCTTGATGTGTGTTAAGTTTCGAAAAATCGGTTGCTCTCATATATATTTTCGAAATTTGGTGCACCAGCGATATATATCTTCCGATTTGCACGAAATTTGGCATAGCGTACTGAATTAAGCCTAGAAAAATGTGTTTTTGAAAATCGGTTCTGATTTATATATAGCTCACCAAAGTCTCTGAAAATCATTCGATTTGCATTTAGCATAACGTACTAAAATCGAGATTTTATAGTATATATATTTTCGGATTTAATGTAAATGGTCCACCAAAGTGTCTATATATCTATATATCTTTATTCTAGATTTGCACGAAATTTGGTTCAAATAGGGTAGCTCCCATATATATTTTAATCCGATGTAAGGTAAATGGTTCTAGAATTTTCACGAAATTTGTGTGTTAAAAGATGTGTGCAAAGTTTCGAGAAAATCGGTTCAGATTTAGATATAGCTCCCATATATATCTTCGTCCGATTTTACGTAAATGGTGTACCAAAGTCCCTATATATCTTTCGATTTGCACGAAATTTGGCATATCGTACTAAATTGCGTCTATAATAATGTGTGCTAAGTGTCATGAAAATCGGTTCAGATTTAGATATAGCTCCCATATATATTTCTATCCGATTTTGTGTAAATGGTTCACCAAAGTCCCTATATATTTTTTGATTTGCACGAAATTTTACACAGCGTAATGAATGAGGTTTTGAATGATGTGTGTTAAGTTTCCTGAAAATCGGTTCAGATTTAGATATAGCTCCCATATATTTGTTCGTCCGATTTAATGTAAATGGTCCACCATAGTTCCTATAAATCTTTCGATTTACACGAAATTTGGCACAGCGTAAGGAATAAGGTCTACAATGATGAATAAGGTCTACAATGATGTGTGTTAAGTTTCATGAAAATCGGTTCCGATTTAGATATAGCTCCCATATATATTTTCGTCCGATTTAGGGTATCTTAACCAAATGAAAAATTTACACGAAATTTGGCACAGCGTAATGAATTAGGTCTAGAATAATGTGTGCTAAGTTTCATGAAAATCGGTTGAGATTTAGATGTAGCTCCCATATATAGTTTCGCCCGATTTTAGGTAAATTGTGCACAAAAGTGCCTATATATCTCCCGATTTGCACGAAATTTGGCACAGCGTAATGAATTAGGTCTAGAATGATGTGTTTTAAGGTGCCTGAAAATCGGTTCAAATTTAGATATAGCTCCCATATATATTTTCGTCCGATTTAAGGTAATTGGTGCACTGGTTTTAAATAAATGAAATTCCGCCAAATTTAACCCATGGTTCCTCTAGCGTTTTCATATGTTCTTTAAAAATATTTTGTTATATATATTTATACGCTTTCCATGTTAGTTTTCACAGTTCATGTGAAAAGTTGTTAACACACATTACAAGAAATGTAAAGGAAATTGTCTAAGTAGTCATGTCGTTGAAAATGTTTGCTGTGTTTGCTCTCCCCTATAATCGGATTTTAAAATATGTATTTCTACAAGAAAAACGAACAAAAAACCCAGCAACTTATAAAATATTCATACTGAATTGCTGCCGTTAAAGGAATGAAATTGAATCAACGCTATTTTTGGCAGTGGCAAAGGCACATAAAATATTTATAATATTCAATTCAATTTTGTGTAAGAAACCTGATTTACTGTGAAAATGGGGATTTTTTGCACTTGAGTGAATTTGAAAATATTTTTTCGAAAAATTTATTTATAGATAGAAATGTACATGAAAACATGAATGAATGACTGGTGGCGTATAAGTAATATAAATGTGGTGGTGCGTATGCGTATTATTTTCAAATAAACATTTTCGGTTCGTATACGCAATGGGTTATTTGTTGTATTGTAGGGTGATGGAGGTGTTTAACCACACGTTATCCATGATGTGGGGTATAAAATGTGCTGTGTGGCCAAATATTCTATGTTTATCACTCCATAAGTTTCGTTTACATTTTCCCGTTTACTTTCATACCCAGAATTCTTTATAAATTTCCTCTTCTCCACACACACACACACTGCTTGATTTTCTCCTACATTAAACGTGGCTTTAAAACAACTCGTAACTACCACTTTAATTTTTGTCTCAAATTTCTTTTTGCTCCTCCAATTGAAGAAATTGAATGCCATGCCAAGCATTTAGTCAAACAGAGACTACTACTACTCCCCAATTTTATTTCTGTAAGAGACCTACATCATGTACTACTGATGCCGAATGCCGGATCATCTTCAAACCCCAAAACGTAGCACGGCAGAAGAAGAAACAAAACTAGGAAAGAAAAAAACTTGTTAACAAGCATCTCCTCAATTGAGTTGTAATGATGCGAAACTTAATTCTCTACTGCAGTTGCGGCTGCCGCAGCTGCTTCTTCTACTGCAATTTTGAGACCATTATCCTGCATGTCAATAAAAAGCAGCAGCTGTTCAGGGTAGGAAGAGGATGACACCGAATATCAAATACTCATGGTCCATGGGACATGCAACTACTTATACTGTCATTTGGGAGGAGATTCTCATACTCATTGTGGGCGTTACCACAAAATGTCACAGGACATGAAGTTGATCGGTTTGTGTTGTAGATTTTTTTCTTTGGTGTCCTTTTTTTGGATTTTGTAAACTGCAGTGGTGTCCATTTCATTGTTCTGATTATCTACAAAAGCAGAAATAAAACCAGTAAGGAAAGTAGTAAAGTCGGACGGGGCCGACTATATGATACCCTTCACCACTTTGAGCATATTCAACAGATGAAATAGAAGCTATATCTAAATCTGAACCGATTTCAACGATTTCAGGAAACATAACACACATCATTCCAGACCTCATCCATAACGCAGTGCCAAATTTCGTGCAAATCGAAAGATATATAGGGACTTTGGTAGACCATTTACATTAAATCGGACGAAAATAAATATGGGAGCTATATCTAAATCTGAACCGATTTTCAGGAAACTTAACACACACAATTCTATAACTAATTCATTACGCTGTGCCAACTTTGGTGCAAATCGAAAGATATATAGGGAGATTGGTGCACCATTCAGATTAAATCGGATGAAAATATATATGGGAGCTATATCTAAATCTGGACCGATTTACAGGAAACTTAACACACACCATTATATTCCTAATTGATTACGATGTGCCAACTTTCGTGCAAATCGAAAGATATATAGGAACTTTGGTGCACCATTTAAATTAAATCGGACGAAAATATATATGGGAGCTATATCTAAATCTGAACCGATTTTCAGGAAACTTAACACACATCATTCAATACCTAATTCAGTACGCTATGCCAAATTTCGTGGAAATCGAAAGATATATAGGTACTTTGGTGCCACGTTTACCTTAAATCGGACGAAAATATATATGGGAGCTATATCTAAATCTGAACCGATTTTCACGAAACTCAGCACACACCATTATGGACCTAATTCAGTACACTATGCCAAATTTCGTGCAAATCGAATGATATATAGGTACTTTGGTGCCTATATCGGGCGAAAATATATATGGGAGCTATATCTAAATCTGACCCGATTTTCACGAAACTCAGCACACATCATTTTGGACCTCATTCAGTACGCTATGCCAAATTTCGTGCAAATCGAATGATATATAGGTACTTTGGTGCCTATATCGGGTGAAAATATATATGGGAGCTATATCTAAATCTGAACCGATTTTTCCCAATTTCAATAGGGTTCGTCCTTGGGCCAAATAAGTGACCTATGCCAAATTTCATCCAAATCGGATCATAAATGCGACCTGTACTTTGTTCACAAAAATACATGGACGGACAGACGGACGGACGGACGGACAGACGGACAGACGGACGGACATGCGTAAATCGACTCAGAAAGTGATTCTATGCATATTCTCAAAAGGAACCATGTGCCTATCTCGTTTCCTTTTGCCTGTTACAAACATATGCACAAAGACATAATACCCTGTACCACAGTGTGGTTAAGGGTATAAACACATCTTTGACATGTCCTGTTGTCGCAATGCATAGTCGCCATCCTCAGGGGTTATTATTGCTGTCAGTGATGACTTTGGGAATTTGCAATCTTTTGGTTTGTTTAAAAATTTTAAAGTTTTTCTTTTTCCTCAATGAGGAGATGAAAGGAGAAATTTGTGGGATGGGACCATATCTGGTCTTTAAATCTGGTTGAAATAAAACCTAAATTTTTCGACACTGTGTATGGAAAATGATGAAAAAAAATCCTATATTAGGCCTAAGGTAAATGAAAAAATATTTTAAAACCAGTGTAGGGTATCATATGGTAGGACGGGACCGACCATATGACACAACTTCCACGATTCAAAAGTTTTGTGGTTATATATTCTGAGCTTGAGCAATATTTCGCGATGGGACCCACTAGAGGTACTACTAATATTCAGTACAGTCCTTCTAATTACTTGTCCAGATTCCCTTCACCGTGGGTTGTTGTGTGATGTTCGGCTTTCAATTGTGGCCGGTAGATCGACTCGAAAAAAAAAACAAAACCAGTAAGGAAAGTTAAAAAGTCGGACGGGGCCGACTATATGATACCCTTCACCACTTTGGATACATACAAGAGATGCTAATATATACAATATCCTGTAGATAGAACAGACATATAATATTTAGAGGACCATTGAAATGGAACCGTGCGAAACTAAATCTGTGATCTACATAGATATTTGAACCAATTAAAAAACCCATGTACATACCATTCGGAAATCTATGAAAAATTGTATGTCAATCGGATTCTTTTGTGTACCATTTGTATGAAATCGAGCAAAATAATGTATGTTGAGCTATATGTAAATCGGGACCTAATTGAGCAAACGTGGAATATAGCGTTTGGTATGCTGCAGCTCAGAGCGCTGACCACAATATTATCTCGTGTATATGGAACAGAAAGAACAGGCTCCTCGGTGCACCATTTACCAAAAATCGGACGAAACTATATATGGGAGCTCTATCTAAATCTGAATCGATTTTCACAAAACGTCGTATACATTAATAAGGACCTATCACAATAAGCTGTGCAAAGTGTTTTATCGATCGGACGATTCATGGGAGTTTGGTGTACCATTTACCAAAAAATCGGTATAGGGGAGCTATAACCAAATCTGAACCGATTTTCACAAAACTTCGTATACATCAATGTGGGCCCATATTTATTACGCTCTGCATAATTTTGTCTGAATCAAAATGAACATCGAATGTATGAGAGTTATATCTAAATCTGAACCGATTTCAAAAAAAACTTCATAAATATCAGACAGGACCTAATTCAGTAGGCTGTGCAAAATTTTGTCCCCATATTGGGAGTTTGGTGCACCACTTACATATAATTGGATAAACTATATATGGGGAAATATATCTAAAACTGAACCGATCTCGCCAAAACATCACGCACATCAAATTGGACCTAATTTAGTACACTGTGCAAAATTTTGTCTCCATCGGAAAAATATTGGAATTTTGGGGCACCTTTTAAATTAAATCGGACGAAATTACATATGGGACCTACATCTGAATCTGAATCGATTTCAACAAAACTTCAAGTACATCAAGTTGGACCTAATTCAGTACGCTGTGCAAAATTTTGTCTCAATCGGGCAAAAATTGCGCATTTGGTGCACCATTTGCCTAAAATCGGACGAAACTATACATGGGAGCTATATCTAAATCTGAACCGATTTCAATGAAACCTCACAGACATCAATCTGAACCAATTTTCTTCAATTTCAATAGGGCCAAATAAGTGACCTATGCCGAATTTCATTCAAATCGGTTCATAAATGCGACCTGTACTTTGCTCACAAAACTACATGGACGGACGAACGGACAGACGGACATGCATAAATCGAATCAGAAAGTGATTCTATGCATATTCTCAAAAGGAACTATGAGTCTATCTCGATTCCTTTTGCCTGTTGCGAACATATGCACAAAGGCATAATACCCTGTACCACAGAGTGGTGAAGGGTATAACAAGTTTTCGGTCCACATCATCCCAATATGATCATCACCGAAAATTATAGGTGTTGTCCTTGACCATACCTGGATACTGATGGACAATTTCAAAGCGATGAGCGGTATATTTCCGATCTCTAGTGTGGTATTAGGTTACTAAATAATATATGAATACGAATGAACCTGTAAATATTTAAGCGTAACTCCCAAATCCGAGTACATACGACAATATAATTGGTATCAATTTGAAGGTCAACAACTCCTCTTGGATATACTATCAACTTCTCCGGTCTATGTCCTTCAGGGGTAAATCTATACCTCCCAGAATACAAATGTTGTCATTTTTCGCACAAAAGTCGGGGTCCATTTGATCCGCTAAATATTGAGCGATCTTTATCAAAACCGGCATGCTTATTCATAATTGCAGCCTCTAGAGCGACCAGAAAAATCGACAAAAATTACGTATTTCTATTACTATTACTTACCTACTTAGCTGGCTTGTGACAGAACTTACGTTCCATAAGCCGAGCTTAGAAAAGATTTCCAGGCGCGTTGGTTTTTTCCGCAGTTTTTCCAATTTGAAAGACGATTTTTGGCGATATTGTCTTCGACTTGATCTTTCCATCGTATTCTTGGCCTTCCCCTTTTGCACAAACACGAATCAGTTGGTTCACTTTTATATGCCTTCTGGGCTGGGGCATTTTCATCCATTCTCACAACATGACCTAGCCAACGTAGTTGCTGCAGCCCAATACGTCTAACAATGTCGATGTCCGAGAATAGCTGGTACAACTCATCTTTCATTCGACGACGATCTTCACCGTCAACGCAGATCGGCCCATAGATCTTTCGGAGAATTTTTCTCTCAAACACTCCATCTGCTTGCGTAAGTACTCATGCCTCAGATCCGTATAACATCACGGGCAGTATCAGCGTCTTGTAGAGCAGTATCAGCGTCTTGTTTGGTGTGGCGGGAGGTGGCCCTGATTTTGAGTTGTTTGCTCAGACCATAGTAGCATCTGTTAGTCATTACTATCCTTCTCCGAATTTCCAAACTGATGTCATTCGTTTTTTTTATGGCGGTACCAAGGTATATAAAATCTTTGACTACCTCGAAGCTGTAGTTCTCAAGTTCCACAGTTGGTCCGAGTCTACTGGACGTCTTGCGCGTT